TGCTTAACCACTGAACCACATCCCCAGTGCAATTATTCCTCATATAACTACAACCAATTATACCTCATACAACTACATAAAAATAATATATTTAAAGTCACAGAATTTCTTCTGAAATTACACTTCCATATCTTTTTTTTTTTTTTTTTTTTTTTTTGTTTTGTTTTGTTTTGTTTTGAATCAGTATTTTAGATCCATGACTGGGAATAGGCAACTTCTACTTTTGGTGTTAATAATATGATAAAATAGCTGAACTAAGAAATCTTACATTTGGGGCTGGGGATGTGGCTCAAGCGGTAGCGCGCTCGCCTGGCATGCGTGCGGCTCGGGTTCGATCCTCAGCACCACATACAAACAAAGATGTTGTGTCTGCCAAAAGCTAAAAAATAAATATTACAATTCTCTCACTCTCTCTAAAACAAAAAGAAAGAAAGAAAGAAATCTTACATAGGACAAGAGAGAATCTCTGTGGGGTGATTTGTGCTAGATCCCAGACTGTTAAAATAATGTTATAATCTACCTCTGATAAATGTGATACTAATGCTAAACACATTCATAACTGATTAATTTGACCATTTCATTGCTCAAGACCATAATATCTAGTTTTAAACAAATGAATAATAACTTTCTCGACTTGATAGTAAATATCTCACTCTGGGAAGGCATCTATGCTCATCAGTATATCGTCAATGCACTTTAATATCTCACTTAATATAGAAGGGACTAAGGTCATTTGGATGGGGCATTAACTTTGCCTCCATGTTTATGACTGTGACTAAGGGATGACTTGCATCTTGAAGGTTAAAAAAAAAAATCTGGGTCATTAAGGATGTTCCTCAGCTATCTTTCTCATCTGACCATTAGAAATAGCAGTAGTTGAGCTAATTCTCAAGGTTTGCAAGTTCTGTTTAGATTTAACTTTTTTACCCTAATGTGATGTAGGAGACAGAGCATGACAATCATTGTTAGGTAGATGACTGCTGTGCAGCATCTTTTCTTTTCGTTGGTAACTGACATTTATTTTATAATGTTATGTGATTTATTAACTCCTTAACTTGGTACCCCCACAGATTTTTCTGAATTTCACTGATTGAACTAGAAGTTGGCTTGGTTTCTACCTAGGCCTGAACAGTTAATTCAGCTGGTTAAAACTGCTACCACTGAAGTCATGGTGGGAAGTTGGATCCCTCTGTGAAAGTGGGGTTGTCATTCTATTCCAAAGCTATAAGTGCATGTATAGCTATGGCCAGCCATCCTGTAGTCATTGTCTCAAATGACTGAATATAGAGATGTTAAAATGTGGGATATGCACCCATTTATTCCTACCAGAAAGATCTTCTAAAACCTGTCCTTACTGGTAGTGGGTCAGCAATGTTGATTAAACTATGATTTTTGAGGAAGTACCAGTTAATCACTAGGCCCTTTAGAAACTGCACTTCAGCTGGGTGTAATGGTACATGCCTATAATTCCAGAAACTAAGGAGGCTAAGGTAGGAGGAGTCACAAGTTCAAGGCCAGCACTTAGCAAGACTCTCAATAACGTAGACCTTGTCTCAATAAAATAAAATATAAAAAAATAAAAAGGACTGGGATTGTAGCTCAACGGTAAAAGCACCCCTGGGTTCAATTCCCAGCAGCCCCAGAAAAGAAGCTGCACTTTATTTTCATGTTCCAGACCTAACAAAAACAAATGAAGTACCTTTAGATTTAAGTTACTAGATTCTTGGGCTGGGATTGTAGCTTAGTGATTGAGCTCTTGCCTAGCATGTGTGAGGCACTGGGTTTGAATTATAAATAAATAAAATAAAGGTCCATCAATAACTAAAATATTTTTTTAAAAAAGTTACTAGGATTTTTTCTCTATAGTGTTTTAAGTGGTAGTTTCTATATTAATTCCTTGTATTTAATGTTTTGTCTATGACAAGATTAAATAAATACTTGAAGCTTAACATTTATTTCTGTCAGTTTTTCCCCCCCGGAGGCTTTACCCAGGTTTGAGTGCAGGGGAGGTGGAGCATATTAGAAATTGGAGAAGGAGATTTGTGGGGCTCTCTTGCTATTGCCCTGAGATGGTTTAAAATAAGTATGATTGTGATAAATAGAAAATTACTTGATCCAGAGGATAAAGCCTTGCTTTGTGCAGGTGGTTTCAAGAGACTATGACTGAATGTTCCATGGCAATGAGGTCAAAACCTGTCTCTACTACTGGAAAGAAAATACCTGGTAACAAAAACCTTGGATTGTGTTTTCTTGTATTTCACAGGTGAGTGTGGTTCAAGATTCCATAAACATTTCTGGCCAGAATACCATGAATATGGTGAAGGTTCCTGAATGCCGGTTGGCAGATGAGTTAGGAGGGCTGTGGGAGAATTCCCGGTTCACAGACTGCTGCCTGTGTGTTGCTGGCCAAGAGTTCCAGGCTCACAAAGCTATCTTAGCAGGTAGGTATTTATTTATGGGTTGTTTTATAGTTTTGGTGAAATAAACAGTGACTGCGTAATCTCCTTTTGAACAACTTCAACTTTTTAAACTGAGCTACAAAAAGACCTGCAGATAAATACTCTTTTATATTATGACATTAGCTCTCATAACCAAAAGACTGATATCCATAAAGAAATGGCATTTCTGTTTTTCCTCTCTGTAGTGGACTTAGGCCACCATTTTCAAGGAGTAAAAAATGATGTGCAAAGGTTTTGAATGCATTCGCACCAAGAGTAGTGTCAGGATACTTGTTAGGAGCTGGTATCAGCTCCTAGATAGGGTTCAGATATAAAAGAGAGGATTCTGTATTCAGGATAAGTACCATCTGGCTGAGTCCCAATCCTAGAGGGCCTAGCCCTCACTTTGATATAAATATATGAGAGTGATGTGATTGTCCCTGACAAGGAGGGTCAAGTCTCCATCTAATAGATCTTTTGCCTGTAAGACAAGAAACACTGACCCAAAAGAGGAACTGACCAGAGAGGACTGATTTCACCACACAAGAAAGAGTAGCAGACAGCCACACACATTTCTCTTCAGACCATAAGATCTGTGAGGAGATAACATGAATTTTAAGGCAAAATGCTTCTTAGGATACTCAGCTTCCTCGTGCTAAAGTACAAACCTGGCAAAGCATAATCTACCTAGTCTAACATCTTCCCATTCCCTGTTTCTACTCGATATCTACTAACATTAAAAGATGTTGTTAACTCTTAGGTTAGTAACATATCTGCATGCTTAGCAAGGCCCTCAACACTGCCAAAATGTCTTTCTATAGATGCAGAATTTGTTCCCTTTATTTCTTTCACCAATAGATATTTTAGCCACTCTCCTTTAGCCTCCAGCTCCTGTAAGATGTCCTTGCCTACTTCTTCTAAGAAAATATCGAAACCCTTTTACAGGAACACCCTTGACTCTTGCCTCTCGCCTATATTCTCAGGGGCAGAGGAGTTCCTCTTCAGGTGGAGAGCAGACTGTTTCTTTCTACTTCTTCTCTGTTCAGATCCTATTTTGCCTTCCCAGAAACCTTACTCTAGCAGTTATTCATATATATTCATCCTCATTCTCTTCCCCCTACCCCAAAGCTGAATTTCTTGAGTTAGCACATTCATTCTCTACTTCATTCTTCCCGCTTATCCTCAATTCACCTCCAGGCTATGAAAGCAGTTTTCCAAAGTTATATGTATGACCTGCTTGTTCCTAAATTTGAGAGACTCTTCAGTTCATATATTACATGATTCCTTTCTTTGGTTTTCTAGCTGCTTCTAATGTGTGGCCTCCCTCTTTTTCAACCATTCCATCAAATATTGGTGAGGTTTAAGGGTGTGCTTCAGTTAGTTTTTACTTGACTCTCCTTGGATGATTTTATGTATTCCCATCGCTTGAACTGCTGTCTGCCTACTCTAAGACATAGCTACTGCTATGGACCCTTCTCTGTTTTTTAAAATCATTAGTTCTATAATCTTCAACTGTAATGTTTATTAGTACCTGTAGTCTATAAGTCTTCTGATATAAGAACAGTGAGAATTGCTGTGTTTTTGGTATAGATTAAAATATTGAGGTTCAGAGCATTAAGTGATTTCCCTAGAAAATGGTGAAGGCTATACATCCTGGGAACAAATTTTTACCCCTCACACATCAGATAGAGCTCTAATCTTTAAGGTATATAAAGAGCTCAACAAGATAAGCACTCCCCCAAAAATGATAATCCAATCAATAAATGGGCCAAGGATCTGAACAGACACTTCTCAGAAGAGGATATACAGTCAATCAACAAATATACAAAAAAATGCTCATCATCTCTAGCAATCAGAGAAATGCAAATTAAAACTACTCCAAGATACCATCTCATTCCAATAAGAGTGGCAGCCATTATGAAGACAAACAACAACAACAGTGCTGGTGAGGATGTGGGGAAAAGGGTACACTCATACACTGCTGATAGGACTGCAAATAGGTACAGCCAATTTGGAAAGCAGTATGGAGATTCCTTGGAAAACTGGGAATGGAACCACCATTTGACCCAGCTATTCCTCTTCTCGGACTATACCCAAAGGACCTAAAAATAGTGTATTACAGGTACACAGCCACATCAATGTTTATAGCAGCACGATTCACAATAGCTAAACTGTGGGACCAACCTAGATGTCCTTCAGTGGATGAATGGATTAAAAAATGTGGCATTTATACACAATGGAATATTACTTAACAATAAAAAAGAATAAGATCATGGCATTTGCAGGGAAATGGATGGCATTAGAGAAGATTATGCTAAGTGAAGTTAGCCAATCCCAAAAAAACAAATGCCGAATGTCTTCTCTGATATAAGGGGGGTGACTCAAAATGGGGTTGGGAGGGAGAGCAAGGAGGAAGATTACCTCTAGATAGGGAATAGAGGTGGGAGGGAAAGGAAGGGAGTAGGGGAATAGCAAGGATGGTGAAAGGAGACCCTCATCATTATACAAGATACATGTATGAAGATGTGAATTTGGTGTCAACATACCTTATATATAATCAGAGATATGATAAATTATGGTATACTGATGTATTAAGAATTGTAATGCAAAAATAAATACATAAGAAAATGATCAGAAATGTTTTGAGGCCAAAAGTAAGAAAAAAAAAAAAGAAAGAAAGAAAATGGTGAAAGCTAAAATTAGTTCTTCCTGACAAAAACTGTAGACCAAAAGTTCCCGTTCCCTGCTAGCTCAAAGGCCTCCTACATGTGCCATCTGTTCTTTCACTCTTAAGTAGTGATTGGTAGTCTCAACTTTGACCCATACCCCCAGTTGATTTGGAAACATGAAAATTTTGAGTTCTTAGCCATTTTATCATTGAAATTAAATTTATTTTTCATGCTGTTCATTAAACTAGAATGTGCATGGGGTAGAGAATTGGTTTTCAACCTCTTTCATTAACCCTACTCCTAAAGAGAAAAACTAAATTTAAATTCTCCCTAATGAGAGAAATTAAATATGAAAGAAAAAAGGTCATTTTATCAGGTAGAATGAGCTTTTGAAGGGCCATGAACCACTGTGCTATATGAAGCTTTTTTTTTTTTTTAAACTTCTTTTGAGGAGGGGATATCTCTGTTAAGAATGCATAGCTTGGAAGAAGACATAAATGAACATGTACTTTATCTGGTTGGTGCATGCTACTGAGCCCAGCTCTTGACTTTCTTGCTGTGTGGTCCCTAGAGGTAGAGAAAAGTACAGTGTCATTGTTCTAGTCTAAAACCTAGGTGTGGGACTGCCTGTTGGGCCATGAGGGACCTTCCATTTGTACCCTCCAGATCTGTACAAAGGACATAGCATTGTCATCCAACAAAAGTAACTGTGGAATAATTTCCTTAAAATATGGATGTTTGAAATATTAAGAAAGAAATTTTATAATTATGAAGAAAGGTATTTTATAATTCTGGTATAATTTGAGGCTGAGTCCCTTTTCTATAGTAATGAACCAGAAGGAAAATCTCTTGTCATAACTGGGGAGAACCAAGAAATTTTCATGGGATAACTTATATTTGTTCCCCTTTCACTTTGTAGCACGTTCTCCAGTTTTTAGTGCGATGTTTGAACATGAAATGGAGGAGAGCAAAAAGGTATGTTAATAGGACGGAAAAGTACGTTATCCAGGTGATTTATTTTCCTATATACATTTTTTCTTGCTATTTTATTAAAATGGAACACAACTCCCTGAACAGACACCTTCTGAGAGCAGAGTGAGGTGGTCTGTTAGTATTCCAGGTAAAGTGGACTCATTTAATCCCCAGGCAGATCATGTAAACAGTTTTGGGTGAGGTGTGTTTCTACTCATAGTACTCAGGAAAATCAAGGTGGAAAGTCAAAGATACAGTTGTTTTACTACTGTATTTGAGAAAGAAAAGGTGGTACACAGGATGGGAGAAAAACTATTACAGTCTGTAGGACAGGGAGACATTTTCTGTTCATGCTAGGTTTAAAATGATACAAGAGTCTCTCCTCAGTAAAGTTTAAAATCATGAAAATAGTCTAGGAAATTTTTTCTGTTGGAGTGTTTCTCATTTTCTATTTTTCTGACATAGAATCGGGTTGAAATCAATGATGTGGAGCCTGAAGTTTTTAAGGAGATGATGTGCTTCATTTACACGGGGAAGGCTCCAAATCTCGACAAAATGGCTGATGATCTGCTGGCAGCTGCTGACAAGGTGAGATAAGAATAGAAAAATGACCATAGGACTTAGAAATTATTGTGACCTGTTGAGTTCTGTAAATAGGCTTCTGTGTTGCATTGTGGGTAAAATAGACATCTATCCTAGCTTGGCCAGAACAATCTGGTTTATATGTGTTTCTTCAAGGCAATTAATAATTTGTTCTCAAAAGCATACTGCCTTGAATGGTGAACTATAGGGTCATCTCATCCTACAGAAAAGAAGGATAAGTACAAGATTTACCTCTCTTCTTTTCCCTACTTCAAATTCAACCACATTGAGAGTAATGTTTCATACTAACATTTGAACTGTGCTTTATAATTTACAAGATGTTTTTACAATTCATTGTTATTTAAACTTTGTCAATGAGAAAATAGTCTTTCACTGTTGAGCATTTTCAGCTTAGTTAAGTAGCTATTATATTGAAGGTATATTGAAGTATACCTTCAAAATTATAAGACAGTTAATAGCTTTTTGGGACAAAAGAGATACTGAACTTATCTAAATCAGATTGTTTCCATTTTGCTTTAGGAATTCTCAGAACCTGTGACGTGTTAGTATACACTACAAATTTTCTGAAAAAGAGTATGATAGACAGCATTTCTCCAGTTTAGTTAGCCCTGTCTCAAGTGTCACCTCCGAGGATTAGTGGTCCCTGAAACATACCAAGAAGCTGATTTTCACTGGGTGTGTACATCAGATGGAGCTCAGTGGCTGGCCGGCCCACCCAGGTTCTGGATACTATGGAAATGCCACCTATAGGGCAAAGCAGAAGGATCAATATTTGCCCTGTGGAAGCTTCTCTTGTGTAAAGAGTAGAAGTGGTTGATGTGACTGAGCTAAAAGGGCTTCTGACCCCAACAGAGAAAGAGGGTGTTCTGTCTGGAGTGCCCCTCTTCCTGCTGTGAGTCTACAACACCCGTCTGAGGGGGAAGTGGGCTTCAGGTGAAGAGTCCAAGAGCTTTCCCGAGATTCATTCAGGGAGATAATGTTCCTTTAAACCTGAGGACAAAGGAAGGTGCCTGGGTTTTCAGTGGAAGTTTTCTCTTTATTGATCAGCTTTTTTGAAATGTTTATAGAGGGTGAGGCATGTGGATCCAGTCAATGCTCCTGATAAGAGATTGGAATAATAACAACTGTATTCTTCTTATCACCTCTGAAGATTTTATTAGTATAATTAGCAATGTGAAAATTACAAACTCTTCAAGTGTACCTCAGTTCTGACCAGGGAAAACTTGCTTTTAATGGAGACAGCAAAATTATATTCACTGCCAGTTCTGGAAAGGTAGAAGACACAGCCCAATATCTGCTTTTCATAAAGTTTGTATGGATCTACCTCAGCTGTTATGTGGTTTTCAGTAAAGTAGTCACTTGTGCTTATATATATCAAGTATTTTTTCACCTCATCTTCAATATCCTGTTAAGGATGAGTAGTATTGCAAGGCCCGCTTTTTAGGTTTTTTTTTTTTTTTTTCCATGTACTGGGGATCAAACCCAGTGCCTCGTCCATGCGAGGCAAGCACTCTACCGCTGAGCCACAACCCTAGCCCACAAGCCCCACTTTTTAAACAGAAACACAGAGGCTCACAGTTGTACATCCTTTAGAGCCAAGGTTAAACTTCTGTGTCCCTCAAGTTTTGGTTCTTATTCCTCAGCCATAAACCCTACTGTCTGTTTACTCTAAACACCTAGAGCAGGGAGATCAGTCTGAACTTCCCAGCAAAGGATGATATTTCCAAGAAAACATATTTTTTAAAAGAAAAAGCAGTTGAATCACAAATGTGTGAATGAGAAATAACTGAAGGGTGTATTTTCAAATTCCATTCAGAATTTCCCATTAAGATGGCCTTCACTCTGATCCTACTTGAAAGTATTTTTACCTTTACACATCCCTATGAGTTTTAGGAAACCAGAGGTAAGAAATCTTTCATGGAAGGATCTAAACATCTAGAATTTACCCAAGAGGCTGAAACAGCTTCTTCTGAGCTTTTTCAGTCTCCTGGGGACATGTGTAATTAGACCAAAAACAAAACAAAACACGTTGGCCAGGCCTGGGAGACACAATTTCAATCTCCCGGGTAAGTACTGCCATTAGGCAGGTTTTTCAGAAGCATAATTAAGAAAAAAAAAACTTTGTCCCCCAAGGGACAAGAATGGCTACTTTTGTCTAATTATGCAGTAGGGATCAGAGCTATTCACAGTGAAAGTCCTTTTAAAAGAATGTATTAGAAAGGATAAGAGGAATAGTCCCTGCAGCACTGTATAAAGACTGAATGTTTACTCAACCTTTTCCAGCCTTTTAAAACAAAAACAGCAGCCTCATTTCTTGCTTGTCTACTGTCATTCCCATTTTCCATGGAAACTTTTTCAGTTACTCAAATGTAAAAAATTAAAGTTGCACCAAAACCAATAAAACTCTTCTTGCTGCAGGAGATCAGAGTGCCAGCAGATATGCCTCCTTACCCAGAATTCATAACAATGCTGATTTGATTGCCAGGATTCAGCCTGGAGGGGCATCATGTCATTGAGTTCTAAGGCCCTCAAGATGGGACCTGTAAGGAGACTGGATAGCCTCAAAGCAAAACCATTCTCCTGTGAACTGATTAATGACATTTTATTTTGTGACGCCTTTTATTTCTTTTCTCTTTCGTTTCCCTGAAGTTCCTTAGTAAGTTCATAATCTCATATTAGAGAGTAAGTAGTAGAGTTGCATCAAACCCAATCAGCTAGATCAAATGTGCCCCAGCATTAACCTAGACCTTCCATTTCCAGAACATTTATGTCCTTTGCTTAGAAGACAGAAGTTTTTGAACTGAAAGTGGATCCAGGGTCTCTGCTTCTTTGTTCTTTTACCCTGAGAATCTTAACCTCAACCCCAATAAAATGGAACTTCATTCATCCTTTCCTATTGAAAAGGAGGCCCTTGGATGACCCTCATTCAAGATCAACTAGTGGCTGAGATGCTGGTGAAAGTCACCATGGGGCTCCTTTTCACTGCCTGATGGGTCAGTTGGGAGATCCTGCCGAGCAAGGTAGTGACAATGCTTAAGTAGAAGGGACTGTGCTTCACCCTAGTCAGCTCTAAATAAAAGGATTGCAGGAAGCTTAATGTTCCTGTTGGCTTGCAGCATTAATGCCCTTTGTAAGCTAGGTGGCAATGGTTGAAGAAAGACTTTAAACATAGTCAGCAGATACAGTATAACTTCAGGATTCTGTCATTGCCTATTTTTTCCTAACAGGTAGACTTTAGAATTTGAATGGCAGCTTCTCAAGTTATTTTAGCTGTCTTCATTTCAAGTTTAAACAACTAACCTTTAGAGTATGGTTATGTTTTATAATTGCTGTTGTAGCTTTTCATGCTCTGTGTAATTCTGTTCAGGTCTCTGGTTATACAGCAGTACTGCTGAAGAAAACAACTTCAGTAGCAGTCAGCCCAGAGCCATTATTGCTCTGAAGACAGTAGTGCTTGTGTTTTACAGTATGCCCTGGAGCGTTTGAAGGTCATGTGTGAGGATGCCCTCTGCAGTAACCTCTCCGTGGAGAATGCCGCAGAAATTCTCATCCTGGCTGACCTCCACAGCGCAGATCAGTTGAAAACTCAGGCAGTGGATTTCATCAACTAGTGAGTTGGCATCTTCAAAGTTCCTCTTTCAGAATAATTGGGATAGCTAAAGAAATGAGAAAGACTTTGAATTAGTGAGTAAAATAGGCAAGTAGCTTCATTAACCTTTTTGGTAGTAAGTATAGAATTCTCATCTTTTCCTTCAGCTTTATAATGTGGAAAAATAGTTTGCTTTCATGGATTGAATCCTATTGGTAAGTTAAGTGTTTTACTTCCAAATACTGAATGGAATTGATGAAAATGATCACCTGCTTCCTGAAAAGCTGTGTGCCCACAGATGATAGTATCTTTACTTCACCTTCACTGACTTAATAAAAGACATAGATTTCTGGGAGAATAGAAGCATATTTTTTAATGATTTAGTAAAATGTATCTATTGTGGAATGAGAAAAAGAGAAGGGATGATCGGTAGCTGAGACGTAAATATTCTGTTTGGAGAAACATTCAACTAGATGTGTTTTTTTATTCTAAGTGACAGGTGTGACCTGGCCATAGTGCTTTTGAAAAACTTCAAAGGGGCCACAAGAAGTAGTGACTGCAGCCCATCTTCTCAGAGAGGAAAATTCTGTTCCCTTGCCTGATGGGAAGCAAAGTTAGGGTGGGGAGGCCCTCATAACAGTAGCTCTGGGGTGGGACAGGTCAGAGACATTCCAGGTAGATGAACAAACAATATTTAAAATAAAAAAATGTCCAAAGAAAGGAAGTAAGGTCCTCTAGATGTAGTTTTTGTGTGTGTGCTGGGGATTCAACCCAGGGGCACTTAACCACTGAACCACATCCCCAGCCCTTTTTTGTATTTTATTTAAAGACAGAGTCTTACTGAGTTGCTTAGGGTCTCACAGTGGCTGAGGCTAGTTTTAAACTCGTGATCCTCCTGCCTCATCCTCTCAAGCTGCTGGAATTACAGGCGTGTGCCACCATACCCAGCATAAGATTATTTCTAAGTGGGAGGGAGGAAACCAATAAATGTTAGTACTATTGAGTGTTCACTATGTTCTAGATTCACTATGTACTAGGTGTTTTTTTATAAATTAATTCAACCATTGAATGAAAAGTGGTTTATTATTCTTTCTTTTTTGACAAATAGGTAGGCTCCAAACTATGATCTACCCTGAGGTTACAGAGCAGCCAGGTGGATGCTCAGAGCTGTCTGTCTGAGGCAGCCCTTGCTTCTCTTCTTATTAACGTCATTAGTGAATGTAAAGAACATTGACAAAGTTAAGAAGAGCTAAATTCCACTTTTTTTTTTTTTTTTTTTTTGTATAGTGGCTCAAAGTCTTGGTATTCAGAATCACAATAGCCACAGTCTGGTCACCAGTCTGCTACTGTCTACCAAGCAAAGTCTTGTGTATATGAAGTCTTTCATTAATACCCTTTACACCAAACCTTGGAAAATTAGGCTCTTTAGGTGGCTGTTCATCTGTCTTGTGCTCACTTCCTTTGATAATCCCTCTCTCTCTGCATTTCTCTTAGTCATGCTTCAGATGTCTTGGAGACCTCTGGATGGAAGTCAATGGTGGTGTCACATCCCCACTTGGTGGCTGAAGCATATCGCTCTCTGGCTTCAGCACAGTGCCCTTTCCTGGGACCCCCCCGAAAACGCCTGAAGCAATCCTAAGATCCTGCCTTTTGCAAGACTCCGGATTTTCCAGAAGCAGCAGCCCCTGTTGCTGCCACTGACCACCAGGTAGACAGCGCAATCTGTGGAGCTTTACTCTGTTGTGGGGAAGAGACTGCATCGTGGCCCCAGACTTTTGAAACAGCACTAAATAACTTGGGGAAGCCGGGGGGAGGGAAAGGCCCAGGACTCGGGGCTACTCAACCTAATGAAAACCCTGTTGCTGCGTCACCGTGTTCCCTTTGGCTTGACCAAGTCTGACTCTGGGATTCAGTTTAGGTGCTGGCCCTGAGCACATCCCAGTCGTGGTACTTCGGAGAAACCTGCCTGCATCTGACTGAGCAGAACAAATTATCAGGTGCCTGGAGCAAAAAGGAAAAAGAGGAAAGAAAAAAAAAAAGGACATTTAGTTTTAAGAGAAGGGAAAAGGAAAGAAGAGTTTTTGCAGAATTTTTCAAAAATCAGTTTGTGAATTCTAATAGTATTTATGTTGAGAGAAGCAAATTTTAGTCCTTCCAACTGTGCTGAAGCTTGGATGTTTGTGAAAACTCCTCACCACCACACAAATATCAGAAGAGCTCTCTCGTTAGCACTTATTGTTTGCAAGAACAGAATACATCCTTTTATCCTCTTATGAAAGTGACAAGCGAAGGCAAAAGGGGAAGAGGTTATTTGATCTGGAAGATAAGTGTTCTGATGATAGTGGCTTTTGCAAAAATCTTTATTGGTGTTGAAAACTGGAAAAAAAAAATCATCCAGAATTCATGCTGTCTTGACAAGAACTATGGTTCTCTGTTTTTAGATATTGTGGAAAATGTTTTTTGGCATTTTTCTCTGATTTTATTTCTCTTCCCTCCCCCCTCCCTTTTTTCTAAAAAACAAAAACAAAAAAAAAAAAACACAAGAAATCTGAAAACACACAAAACAAAAACAACAAAAAGAAGAGAAGAAAAAAGGAAATTTTATTATTAATGCTGTGTGAAAAAAGTCCCAGCACAGATTGCTCAGCTGTTTGTACCTGACTTGCCACCTGCATAGGAGCCAGTCCTGTTCCTCCTTCTTAGCCCTCTTCCTACAGGGGAGAACTTCCAAATGTTAATTTTTTCTTTTTGAAAATATAAATAATTACTATTTTGTACTGTGTGGTATCTCTGGTCTTTTGTTTTCACTCACCTGGCTTGTCTCTCGAGTCTGAGTTCCTTGCTTAAGGGATTTTGAAGGCCTAGTTTGATCATTCATCTTGCAGGGATTATGTTTGAAATGTCTAATAAGCAGAAGGGATTTATTTATTTTTCATAATCTCAGGTTTCCTTTGTGAGCTATCAGCATCTGCCAATCTTTTGTTCTTGAGTATTGAGAGTCCATATCCTAATGAAGGACCAGGCCCCTACCTCTGCCAAGGCAAGTGATTGTACTGGGCTTTTCTGCATCCTGTATGCTTTAAGACTTAATCCCCAATCTCTTTTCTCCTAACTAAATATTAAAAGATCCAGGAGACACAAATGTGGAGATCAAATAAAGGGAAATTATTGTCTCTGACTGGTCCTGTCATTGACTTGATGTGTTTCCAGAAAAATTGTCTTAACTCCAGTGAGCTCACAAGATATTCTAGGGTTCCCTGTTAGCCTGCTTCATAGCACTGTTAGGACAAGCAGGATACACGGGAAAATGAATTGGCTGTTCTGCCAAGGTTTTTTTTTTTAGTTTCAATGGAGCTTCAACCTATTTAATTTTCCATTTCCTTTTGGTGAACTTTAGCCTTTACAAATTTAATTTTCTACTTTTTATTTGTCTCACCAACCCCAAAATGAATAGATATGATCTATTATCAATATAATCAAAGGCAGAATTTGTTTATTAGAAAGCACTGCATTGGGGCTAGGGTTAGGCTCAATGGTAGAGTTCTTGCCTGGCACATGTGAGGCACTGAGTTTGATCCTCAGCACCACATAAAAAATAATAAAATAAAGGTATTGTGTCCATCTACAATAAAAAAAATATTAAAAAGACAAAACATGCATTGCACTTCCAAGGTTACTTCCTAGGTAACAACCTGTGTAAGGAAGTGCCAAGTTCTCTGTGTGCTAACTGTTGTCCTGTGCCGGCTCAGCCCTGCTTTCCAGATCAGCACTCAGACCCTGAGATCAGGGCAGTTGCAGTCTCCTCCACCTATGTTATCTCAGATAACTGCACTTGCTCTCTGCATTTCTCAGTTCTCAGTAAACCTTCATCTACAGTATCTCATTTGAACTTCCCAACCACTTGATGAGTTTTGTTGGGCAGGTGATAGATCGCCTCTTCCATTCTATAGCTGGAAGAAGGTGAAACCCAGGGAAGGAATATGCCTAAGGTCACGCCACTATTGAGTGCCAGATCTTCTAATGTCACATCCTGAAGATTACGTAATGAACTGCAGGAAGTTCCATTTCTGGAATGTTAGGTACAAAATTGGAAGTAAGGCTTGCTTCCTCTGGGAATAGCAAGAACAAAGCTTTGGAAAGGTGCCTCTACTGGCCTGTTCTTCAGAGGTTCCAAGAGGTCAAACCAGATTTCTTTCTCTTCATTCACAGAAAGCTCTTGGTGGGGGACTGTTGGGTTTGGGGAAGGTATCCTCCGGGGGGTAACAGTCCTAGCACCTAGCTTCTGGTAGGATGAAGTTTTCTTCTGGGATCTTGAATATTTATGGAATTTCCAGTGTGGACTCTACTATTAGTATAAAGCTATGAGTATTTCAGGCCAGGTGAAACTGTGTAGTGCTTCTCCCATGATATTATTTCTGGACATGTTTGTTTTTGTTTTAAATGATACAGTTGAAGCCATCTGGTTATGACAACATCAGAGTCCCAGCATACTGTTCATAAACCTCCCACTGCCACCACCCCTTCCCTTAGCTCCCCCACATCTGAAATTTAATTCAAGTTAACTCAACAATCTGGGGCATGTGCTGTCACTGCAGAGATGTCCGTGCCAGTGGAACAGTTGGAGATTTCAATTCCACAAGGATATGGCTTATTTATCAAAACAGTATTTCAGGCAAGTAGTTTCACAGAACCTTTGGAGTTGCATTTTTGGGTCCAAATAGAGTATCTGGCATCATTGCCGTCTCCCCTCCTCCCCTATTATCAGTCCCCCTATATGTGGCCACCCATGGCAAAACTTTTCCCATTCCCTGTGTAGATATTAAACCTTTCTGTGTTGTGATTAGGTGGCTCGGGTGCCTGTATAGGTTTTGACAGTTTGGGTAAGAGATGCCCCCCTTTTCCTTTTCACTGTAAGGCTGCTGGTCTTTTAGCTTTTGAAGAACTGCTGTTGCTGCTGCATTTTGTTTTTTCCAGCCAAGGACATGAAGCTCTTATTAGACTAAATCTCTGGCTTGTCCACTCCATGCTTTCCCTTTAAAATATAACTTAAACCTGTTGTGAGATCTCCATATTGTATGAGCCTGTGCAAATGAAAGGAAACAGCTTGTATGTTTATGAGCAGAACAACAAACAGAGGGGGAGTGGAACTGCACTTTGAAACTGACTGTTGCTTTGTTCTGGCCCTTCAACTCCTATAAAAGGAACAACTGAATTCCCCCAACATGGCTGCATTGGATCCTTTGGTTTATCTTTGTAAAAGACAAATTCTTGGCTAGAGCCCAACCTTATTTTCCACAACTAATTATCTTTTTAATCAGCCTGGACCCTGTGTGTATCCTTTGTCTCATGACTTTTCGCTGAACTCTGCCCTCCATCATTTGGATTCATTTCTGATGGCTTGCTGACTAATCTAACATTCAGGTGAGTAGCATTGGGCTGCTCTTTATGTACGTGTGCATGCAAGGTAGATGTGCTTTTCCCTTTTAATTTCGGAGGTGACTGTGCCACTGTAGATCCTTTGACCCAATAGGTGGACACCTTGTGGAGACAGTAAGCAAGAAAGCAGATGTAGGATGATCAGTCTCTGGGATAATGAGCTGGGAGAACCAGAAGCTCTGACCTCCAAACAAGAACAGAAACTTGAATGTTGTTGACTGATGGGATCTCTACGCCACCAAGCCATTAGCAAGATGATTGCGCCCCCTCTGTAAATCCTGTAATGCTAGAGTAGAAAGTGACATCTGGAATGCTGTTTGGTGCTGATTTCTGCAGCTCTGAGGGAAAAAAAAAAAAATTAGACTTGAGGGAATTCAAAACAAGCAAGAGAAATGATTAAGGAGTTGAAGTAGATCAACTCTAGGGAAAAAATATTATGAAGATATAGTATCTTCATGTGACTTTGGGATGTAGCACCAGTACCTGCAGTTGACAGATGTCACAGGCATTCTGAACACTTGAGGACTTGTCTCATACAGCTCCCCTTCATTCCATTTGTGTGGCTTGGGGAGGTGGTACTGTGACTTCCTCAAGGTCACTCAGCCTGGCCCAGAGCCAAGAAATAACAGAAGGCAAAGGAATTGTAGGCCCGGGGAGCAAAAAGAAGGTGAAAATCCAAGAGCTTTCCTGGCATTGACCTGGACGGGTCTACTAGTAATGCTCAGTTGAAATGGGGAGAGTTTTAACCTCTCAAAACCTTTAAAGGTGAGCTCTTCACAAACAAGGAGAAGGAGGAGCCTCATCTTGTTCACTTCCTGTTCATGTAAACAGACATACAGGGAAGTGGGGTGACATACTCAAGGTCACAGATTAAACTCAGGCCACTGACTGAGCAATTGCGGAGCACTTAGAAAACCCAGACATTGTGCAAGATTGAGCCTAGGACAGAGGATAGGATTCCTGTTCTACTAACTAATGGAGATGGCAGAAATAAACCAGAAAAGCCACAGAACTGACAGCTGGGAAGAAGCTGTTGAACTTAGCGGTACTCAGTCATTGGTTATTTTAGAGTAGTATCGATCAAATGATAGGGGGAGAATACAAGAATGTGGAGGAAAGCAAACAAATTGAGTAAAAGCTTAGAAATTTGGCAGGGAGTGAGGAAGGGAACCTCTCCAATTTTTAAGAATTTATATATCTAGTCAGTCAATACATTTGTTATTGTCTAACAATAATGGTGTACAGATTATTCCATAAATTATGGACACTTTTAATAACTGATACATGTAGTGAGACTACAAACTCAGTTTATGGAATAATTACATAAGCATGACTATAATCATGAGAAAGAAAACAATCAGGGGCTGGGGTTGTGGCTCAGAGGTAAAGCGCTCACCTAGCATGTGTGTGAGGCATTGGGTTCAATCCTCAGCACCACATGAAAATAAAATATATTGTGTCCACCTATAACTAAAAAAAATAAATATTAAGAAAAATCAACTTCAACCCTTACACTATTTTTTTAATGTTTTTCTTGTAGTTGTCAATGGATTTTTATTTATGTGTGGTGCTGAGAATTGAACCCAGTGCCTCAAACATTCTAAAAAGCAAGCACTCTACCACTAATCCACCATCCCAGCCCCCCAGCCCTTACACTATTTTGAGAATGGTTTTGTAAAGACACATTTCTGTCCTTCTTTAACCTATCTATCTACTTTTTGTTTTTTTGGAGGGGGTGGGTAATGGGGGTTGAACTCAGGAACACTCAACCACTGAGCCACATCCCCAGCCCTATTTTGTATTTTATTTAGAGACAGGGTCTCGTTGAGTTGCTTAGCAACTCGCAGTTGCTGAGGCTGGCAACTGCGAGTTGCTTGACTCTCTATCCTCCTGCCTCTGCCTCCCAAACTGCTGGGATTACAAGCGTGTGCCACTGCCCCTGGCCTGATCTATCCATCTTGTAAAAGTTTACTTCACACTAAGATGTTTTCATGGACCAGGGGTCTGGTTCAGTGATATGCTACTAGAAGTGTACCATTTGGTTCCCCAACATGGAATCCCTGATTGGTAGCTTTGCCAGTTCCCGTGGTGTAAATACTCCCATCATGGATGATTTCAAATCATCAAGGTGACCTTATCAGACATTGGGAGATCTGTACAGTGCACCATTATCTAGTATATCAAGCACACAGATGCAGTGGATGCAAATGACCTCATGAGCAGAGATAATAGTAAAATGTAAAATTAGGAAGAGATTAATTTTGAATATCTATTACCTTTATTAGTCATATGGTAATATAATTTTTAAATGTTTATTTAGTTATAGGTGAACACAAAGTAT